CGGCTGGCGATCTGGGGACGAGGCGTGAGGCGGAGCCGGGGGCGGAGCGAGGCCGGGACAAGGCCACCAGATTGGACACTTTCTTATCCACCACAGTGCCGAACCCCACCCACTTCAAGTACGGTCTAGGGAGTCGGAGATAACCGACTTGGGGTCCTGTTTTGTTATCTTGGCCTCCTCATGGGGCTAGGTGAGTGCCTGGTAGCTAGAGCTAACTCGTTACAAATGGGTGTCACGCCAGACCTGGTGGCGCGGGTGTGTGCCCCAGCTCCTAGCAAGGCCAAGGCAACAGGGTCTCGGATTCTGTGCCTACCTGGGATGTAGAGCAAAACCAAGCCCAGCCTGGACAGTACAGGAGACCCCATTGCAAAATACAAAGGAAAAGGGGGTTGAGGTGTAACTGAGTGTCGTGTCAGGGCGCTTGGGGACCACGGGCTAGGCCCTAGGTCCAGTCAATGAAGGCCCTAACGAATGGACTCTCTCTCTCCTGGGCCCGCGCTTACCTGTTTATAAGCTCCTCTGATTGTAATTTTCCACTCAGGGTATAAGCAAAAATTATGAACACCATAACCCGCTCGCCTGCTTCTCCTTGGGTCTTTGCTTAACACTACCCAGCCCTCCCCGCCCCGAGAAAAAGATATTTTAGAGACAGGAGAACATCCTTCCTTACCTATTTAGGTACTGACATCTTTGTCTTCCAAAACAGGATGCGGGGCAGCTTTCCGTAGCGTGTGCATCGTCTAAACATGGATGTTAGTTACCGAGGTGGAAACCTTAACGGGATCTGTACGGCAAGGCGGGAGGGCGGGCTATTCCGCCTGTTTGGAGCACTGAATCTCACTTTCTGGTCTCTGAGGAAAGGGGTGGTGGTGGTAATATTCACGGGTTTATGGATACTTTTTTTTCCTTTAGAGACAAAATTTCTTTATGTGTCCAACTGTCCTGAAACTTGAGATCTATCTCCTTGTCCTCACCCACCCAGTGCCGGAATGACTAGGGAAAGCCACCATACTCTCTCAAAGGGACATTTTCATCTCCCTGGGCTGATCATGGAGAGCTGTCAAAGCCCTACCTCTTATGCTACCCTGGGCAGAATTCCTACCAGTACCATAAATTTGAAAGGCTCTTACTGAGATCCTGGTTCTCTACAAAAGACATTCGATATTGAAAATATTTCCAGCCACAGTTTCCAAGAAGTTGCAGAAATAGCTCCAGCAAGTTGGGTAAAGCTTACACAAAAGTGTGTGCTTTACGCCCCCGTTTCTGCATTAAAGATATATAATAAGTGCATTAAAATAGAAATATTGCAGAAAATGGGGAGGACTGGAGATCACTATGTTCAGCAAAATAAACCAAACCCAGACCAATAATGTTTCCTCATACGTGGAATTAGATTTAAATACATATACATATACATATACATATACATATATATATATATGCAAGTTTACACATGGGTGATGAAAATAGAAAGAAGTCTATGAGAATGGAGGAAGAAATCTACAGGGAGGGCGGGGTGGAGACCAGAGAGGATAATGAGTATTCATGCCATGAAAGCAGAACGAGAGGTGTTGGGAGGAAGAAGGAGGCAGCAAGAGGGGGAGGGGATGACCAGGAAGAGCAATGAGGGCACAGACATGAAGTTTAGTGTCATATGCTTCGTGTGCGCGCGCACACACACACACACACACACACACACACACACACACACACAGAGGATTGTTGAAATTTCTATTTATGCCCTTGGGGAAAATATCACTATTCTAATCATTAAAAAACATGCAAATGTTAGCTACAATTAGTTGCATTTGTGTGGTGCCTGCAACACCAGTGAGTCCAAGGTATCGGGTGAAAGCCTGGAGATTTAGTTAAAAGCAGAGACTTCCGTTCGTTGCTGCTAGGACAATGTGTGTGCACGTCTGTCTTTATTGCAGGCAGGGAGCAGCCTTATATACAGACTTACAGCACAGTGCAAAAACCCCAGGTGTAAGAGCTTGTGTTTTCCCAGGTGTGGTTGATGCTAGAGGGGCATGGCCAGGGCTCTAAGCCAGGACTAGAGAACAGGATGCACCTATGGTTATTGGCTGATAAGCAACTCACAGAGACCCCGTGGGGCTGGGGCCCAACATCTCCCAACATCTCCCAACACATCTGAGCACTCAATCTCACTTTCAGGTCAAACGGTTCAGTTAGACAAGAAGCCTAGTAAAGAACCTCACAAATACAGTCACATGATCTGTGACCCAGTGTTCCCTAGAAGGAAGATAGCCTTTCCAACCAACAGCCTACTGTAGCTTGTATGATGTATCCCAGGGTTCATGGCTCTCATCTTGGTTCTCCTAGAGAAAGAGTCATGGAACCCTGTGGGGAAACCCCGTTCATTAATAGTGTGTTCTGGAAGGGGATTGTGGGAATTGATCTCTTCATTTTTCTCTTTTGCATCCTTGTGTTCCTTGCCTTGGCTTCTTGCTTCACCATGCACTCAAGAGCTAGGCAGAAACTCAACCATGGACCCAAACTCTAGAAATATAAATCAAAATAAACTTTTCACTCCTTAAATTGACTACCTGGGGCATTTGTTACAGTAGCAGAAAGCTGCCTGACACAAACCAGATAGGCAAAAAGGTGATGCTAGACACAGATTTTACAATTTTCACAAAAACTAACTTGAAAGTAGATGATAGACCTCTGTTTAAAATACAAACCTTGAAGGGATAATATCACTACTAGATAATGTCAAAGAAAATCTAGATGACTTTGGGTTTGGTGAGACCTATTAGATACACCAAAACTATGATCCTTGAAAGAAAAAATATGGACTTTTAAGTTGAAAAATCTGCTTAATTGTTTTTAGATTTATTTTCTTTATTTTGTCAGTGTATTTTGCCTGCATGAGGGTATGTGCATCAGCTGTGTGCAATAACAACATAAGCCAGAAGGGGGCATTAGCTCCCCTGGAACTGAGTTTGGGAGGAGTGTGAGCCACCGCTGGGTTCTAGGGATCCAAGGGAAGTCCTTTCAAGAGCAGTAAGTGCTCTTAACCACTGAGCCATCCCTCAAGCCCCTAGATACGACTTTTAGTTCACTAGACATACCTCAAAGGTCACATGGCATGATATAGTCAGCTTTATAAGAAGATACCGAATTATCTCCTAAAGTGGCCGTGTTGTATTGAATTCCCACCAGCAATGAATGTAAGTTCCTGTTATCCTTGCCAGCACTTGTCATCAGTGGCAGATTTTAGACACTGTTGTGTGGCAGTTTCCTTCTAGATTGAAACATTCTTTCAGGGAATCTCTTTAAGATGGCAGTGAACAACCTAAACTAGCTTCAGGAAGTCCCTGAAGATGACAAGATTCACCAGGCCCCTCTGTCCAAAGAGCAAACAGTAAAGAGTGCTGAGAATTGGTCTCAGGTGAGACAAGCTGCAAAGAAACTCTGAGACCAGATAGTTGCCTGGAAGAAGCAGCAACTGGTCTAACTTCCTGGAAGAGGCTCTGGTCAACTGAGGCACCTGGGAAGGACACGCTCCAACCTGTGGAGCTGTGCAATCTGCTCCAGGTTCCCAGCTTGGGGACTGTCACGCCTTCTGTTAGAGTTTACTCTAACAGAGTGTTAGAGTATTGTGTTAGAGTCACTTCTGCTCTTGTGAGTAAACTCTCACCCACACTCCTCACCCGTGTTCCTGTACGTGACCCCTCACCCGTGTTCCTGTATGTGACCCCTCACCCGTGTTCCTGTATGTGACCCCTCACCCGTGTTCCTGTATGTGACCCCTGACCCGTGTTCCTGTATGATGTAACCCCTCACCCATGGTTTTGTAAGCAACCCCTATAAATCCCATTGGTCACCAGGTGGGCTTTGGTGGTATTTATATTTGTTCTGTCATGGGCTTCCTGTTCTGGGTCAGTCAATCCGTGTGCTGTGTCTCCCCAGGAAAAGCCTGTCACACAACAGCCACTCTACAAGGTGCCATGGCTTAAAGTGAAGACGGGAGTTGGGCATGACACAGTCTATAGGGAATGACCCTAGAAGCAGGGATGCATTGATAAGGGAGACACAGAGAAGGCTGGAGTGCCTGAGATGGCATGAGGAGAGTCTGGGAACACGGAGAAGGGCTGCCTCTCCACAGAAGGGGGCGGGGCTTGGCTGGCATCTTTTGTAAGGAAGGAGCTCATATCGATATTTAGAGGAAGGTCCGAGAGTCCCCAGTGACAACTTCTGCTTTTTACAGGAAGTGGGTGGCAGTGCTTTCTTGCAGAGGAGAGGGCCTGCAGCGAGAGCCATGAAGGAGATTTGTGGAGAAAGAACATTCTAGCTATGGCTTGCGTGTGGGTGCCAGAGGTTTCCTGGAAGAAGAGAATTCGGTGAAGTTGTCTGAGCTGTAGGTCTGGTCCTTCTGTTCCTAGGACCTCTTACCCAGAAACTTCCTCTTCTTCAGGACAGTGGAGAGAGCCCCAAATAACGAGCCTGGAGCACTGGAGCCAGTGCTGCCTCTAGTGTGAATGCACCTTGGGTCAAATTTACATTTGAGGCCAAATTCTGGACTCTAGCATTCTCTTGGCGGGTCCCGGCTGACAGTCCAGATGGCTGTGCTCTTCTGGTGGGTCATGAACGGGTGAGAGCCAGTTCCTCAGTCTCTAGGCTGAGAACCCCAAACCCCACTTGACCACATGCAGCCTCAAGCCAGCAGATGGAGGAAGTGGAGGGGGCCGCAGATCTTTTGCTCACTGGGTGTTAACACTGTGGTGAGCAGGATGCTCTGCCTTGCTTGGCAGAGTAGGAGGCAGCTGCCACCGTTGCCCCGACCTCAGCCCGAGTACTTGGCTACGAGGCACATGACCTTTCCCTAGCTCAGAGTCTTAAGATGACTCATTTCCTTCTTTCACTGTTTTTCAGGGTCAGCACCATCCTCTGAGGTTGGAATCTCACCAGCCAGCCATCTTCTTGCCTCCGAGCCAGCACCCCTGCAGCTGAGCAGGTCAACATGCAAGCTTGTTTACGGTGTTGCCCTCGTGTTTAGAGACTGTATCTACAGGGTGTCTTTCCTGAAGGACAATGGCTCAGTTTCCCCTGGGAGGTGCCTCTTCTTCCTGCTTTCCTCTAACCTGCTACACCCTACCTTTCTACACAGTACTCCGAGTTTCCTTAAAATTATCTACTCTCTCTCTCTCTCTCTTTCTCTCTGTCTCGCTCTCTCTCTGTGTGTGTGTGTGTGTGTGTGTGTGTGTGTGTGCGCGCACGCTCGCACGTGTATACATGTGTGTGTGTACATGAGTGGAGCCCAGAGGAAACCCTGAGTGTCATCTTCTGCCACCCACACCCTTTGAGACTCGGTTTTTTTCTCATTGGCCTGGCAGTCACCAACTAGGCTAGAATGGCTGGCCAAGCAGCCACAGGGATCCTCCTGTCTCTGCTTCCTTAGTGTTGGGTGGGATTACAAGTGTGCACCACCACACCCACGTGTTTACACGGGCTCTAGGATTTCACTCGGGTCTTTAGGTTTGCAAGGCCGTTGCTTGACTGAAGGAGCCATTCCTGCAGAACAGTATTCTAAAATCGAAAGAGAGACACCGAGATGCTCAGAGATTTCAGTTCCTGATGGTTGGGGAGCAGCGTTAGCGCAGCAGGAGTGTCTAGGGGAGAATCTTTACCTGGCCAGAGCCATGAAGCAGAGAGCTTGATTGGAGCTGGGGCTGGGCTTCGAAAGGCCCATCTCTGGTGGTCTGGGGACCTGAATTTGGGTCCTAACGCTTGCATGTCTTATCCACTGTGCCATCTTCCCCCCACTGTCCTCCCCGAATATTTTAAATAATAACGCTGGTTGAGTCTGTGGATTCAATGGGAGGCTTGGGGGAATTCCTGAAAAACTGCAAAGCTACAGCCATGGCTCTGGACTCACAGGGACTGCAGTTCTAGTGAAGAAAGAACCTAGACTTGTGCTCCCAGAATTTCTTGGAGTAGGAGGGCAGTGAGTACCCAGTACAACCTCCAGGATTATTTTATTGTCTAGATCCTTTCTGTCTATCTCTTGAACAGTGTGGCCAGGAAAAGTGAGAATTGCATTTGTTGGCAAATGATAGTTTTTGGGTTCAAAGTCCCGATTAACTGATTGATCAGAGTGGGAAGTAGGAAAGAGAGAAAGGTGAGATAATAAAGGCAGAAAGAGAAGAGGAGTTGGTAAGAACGCTGGCTTTTGTGGACTGGGGTTCAAGTGGGTTGTGGTACTCCTGATGTGGCAACGACTTGGGAGGGAGTCTTGGCCAAAGCAATGAGATAGGTGACTAGGTGTGTGTGTGTGTGTGTGTGTGTGTGTGTGTGTGTGTGTGTGTGTTACCAGTTAGTGGTGCGGTGTGAACTTCAGAACAGAACAGAGTTTTCTTTAGGGAAAATCACATTCAGTGTTGATATTGAGACATATGGATTTAGACATATGTATACTTGTATATATGCATTGGTATATGACAATATAGTCAAGTATCAAAATATATATAGTTGAGTGTAAAACAGAAATAAGGCCGAATCATTTCAAACAGGGATGTCCCTCCATAGATCCAGCCATGGGGTCATCATGGAAGACGGTTGTGAGATTACACAGTAGCCACCATCCTTGGCCTCTGCTCATCAGATGCTGACAGCGCTCGCCCCTTTGTCACGATGCCAGTGCTGCCCCCTACCTTTCTACAATGTCCCCTGGGAATGACTGCTCCTAGGCAGAGAACCTCTGCCTACCCAGGACGACGGTAGTGCGAAGGGTTAGACATGGGTGGGTAGATGATGACTAGATTGGCCATGCGGCAAGGGTTGTGTAAAGGAAACAAACTTAGCTCCTGGCACCTTGGGTTAGGTATCTACTAATAACAGATAAGATGTTAAGTTAGGTGGTGATACTATTTCCTAAGGTGGGGTGCTGCTTAGTTTTGACAATTGAACCACCTGGGAAGAGATTCTTAACGAGGAATGATCTAGTTCAGGTTGTTCTGTAGGCATGTCTGGGGGCAATAGTCTAGATTTGTTAATGGCTGTCGGAAGATCCAGTCCATTGTGGGTAGCACTATCCCCTAGGCTGGGTCCCTGGAGTGTGTAAGAATGAAGGAATCTAGAAGCAAAAATGTAGACAGTGTGGGTGCGTTCTTCTCTCGCTGCTCTTGGCTGTGGCTGTGACATGCCTAGCTGCTTGAACTCCTACCTCGGCTTCCCTAACATGATGCAGGCATGCACCAAATAAACTCGTTTCTCCTGTGTTGCTTTCTGCAAGTGTATTCTCTCACAGCCCTAGGAACGACACTAAGGGAGTAATGAGTGATGGTTGATTTCATATGTCAGGTTGGCAAGGAAGGGCTTGGACAAACAGCAGTATAGACGTTTATGTGAAGAAACTGTTAAGACCAGTGAACAGATACACCACTAATACCTGGATAAAGCAGACTGTATTCTGTAGTAGGTGTGGGAATTCTGTCTCCAGATGCCTTCAGACTCCAGCTGCAGCCAATGCCTCCCCTGGCTCTTCAGCCTGCAAAGCCGTGACTTCCCATCCGTACAGGGACACTAACCAAATTCCTTATGAGAGAAAACCACCCACGGCCGGGGCCTCAGCTCTATGCCAATGAGCGGACTTGCTTGTTACAGGAAAGATGGTCATCTGGCTGGATACTAGCCAGGAAAAGCAACGATGAGATGATTAAATTCCAGGCCCAGCAGGGTCAGCCATCGGCTGTGGGCCTCTGGCTTTTTCATTTTCAAATGATGGATGACTTCTGGGGTTGCTCAATTCTGTACTTTATTGTGTGAACCATGAACTTGACCTTTTCTCTCTGCCTTTTGTTACTGCTTCATTTAGTAGCTTGCTCGACAGCTGCAGAAAATTTAAGATCCAACCCATCCCTACCCCTCTCATGACAGTGCCTAGCCTTCCCGTGTGCTCTGCTCTATCTAGTCCTGTTGCAGCCCAGCACACCTGGTCACATTTCATTTCTTTTTCTTCTAAAGCTGTCTGAAATTCACTACCACCTCCTGTACATGTCTGTGGAGAACTGTCTCCGGGGCTCTCATGTCTATACCCAGCTCCACAGACCAAGTTCAAGTTCTTGATACAAAGTGAGATTTTTTTTTTCATCTGTGGAGCTGGGTATAGAGATGAGAGTCCTGGAGACAGTTCTCCAAGGAGGCTCCTCTTCTGTGAATCAAACCACCTCTAGATCACTTCTAATGCCCAGCCCACGGAAATGCTAGTCAGTCCTTGCTCTACTGTGCTGTGGAGGGGAGCAACGGCAAAGAGCATCTGTTGGTGTTTAGAAAACCCCCAGTGATTTTCCTAGATATCTGCTGTCTGGGATTGGTTAAGTTTAGACACAGAGGGCTGACTAAATAGAGTTCATGACTCAGCTGGAGTTTGGAAAACAATGATTTAGAAAACGTTAAGGAAACACACGGTGTTGTGAAATGAAGAGATGATGCCGAAATCACGAGGGTGTTTCCCAGGTAGGAGGCTGTGTACACTTTCGAGGGCACCTCCTACACGATCCCTGGTAGGCTGCCTGACTCAGCCTCTCTCATTCTTGGCAGCTGCCAGTGTGAGGAAGCCTTCAGCCTTAGCTGGAGCCTCAGGGCAGGACTCCACCCAGGAGGCGTCAGTCACTGCTTAGTGGTCAAGCGCAGACCACAGACCAAAGATCTCTTTTGCAGAGGCCTGTGGCTTTCCCCTGTCTCCCTTGAAGTCTGCGTTTTCCAAACTTCTTCTGGAGATCATAAGATTAATTCAGTGAGCCTTAGATTTAGAGGAGGGGAAGAACAGACTAGGGTTAGACACGTGGACGGGACTCACTTTGCACGCGTGCAGCCTGCACTGCATACTAGGTGTGTACGATCTGAGTGTGTCTGTTTTGTGGTATGTAGTATATATGTTTGTCGTGGGGAGAATTATCTGTGGAGTATTAGTATAGTGTGAGGGTGTAAGACAGGATAGAAAGGAAAATTGGGGGGACCCAGGAAGGAACAGAAGCCCCTCACTTCTGTACCTGGTTTGCATTTCTAGCCTGGAGGGCATCAGTGCATCCAACAGCAAGGAAACTGTGAAGATAGTCTGCAGGAAACCAGCACTTGCCTTTCTGAGGGATGAAACGGGAGAGTGAAAGCACCAAGTGAAGGGAGCTTGCCTCAGACTGGACGGGTTGGAGGTCTGTGACCTTTGACATTAACCTGGTCAGTTTTCACCTCCTGTCGCTAAACTTGAGTAGTAAGTTTTGTAAATCACCTCTCAATTTCATCTACAAAGGAAATTATTTAAGATAAGAGAAATAAGTAAGACAGCTCATATTTATTACTTAATTTTAAAACTTTGATTAACCTTTTGAATCTGGTTGCCAAAGATATCTTTTGGGAGAGTGTAGTTTCAAAGGCCACAAAATATCACTGAGACACATGAACACCACCCTCCACAGTTAAATCTAAAGCATACACTAACTGTTTCCCTTTCTTTACTTAACAACCCGACTTTGTTTCAACTGATTCATGCTGGGATTAATTTCTGTGGCATAAGACCCCAGCCATACCTAAGTTTCCTAAGTGGGATACAGCTCAGACTTCAGCCAGCAGCTATCTGCTGGGGCTGCTGCCAGTGCGTGTGGTGTGTGTCTAGCTGAGGTTTGTTGTGTGTGTGTGTTTGCATGTGTGCGTGTGAGCATGAAAAAAATATATATTCTTTTGATTTGAGACAGGGTTTCTATATGTAGTTTTGGAGCCTGTCCTGACACTTGCTCTGTAGACCAGGCTGGCCTCAAACTCACAGAGATCCATTTGTCTCTTCCTCCTGAGTGCTGGGATTAAAGGAGCTTGCACAGATGCGGGTCAGCCACCTTGAAGGACTGTCCCCTCCTGTGTGTCTGCGTGAAGTTGTTGGGAAGGATTCTGTATGGCTGCTGTTGAAGCCTGTTGTGACATGCTGTCACCTCACAAGGTCTCCCAAGCAGGGGTGTGGGGGGTGTGGGGGTGGAGATCTCACTTTCTATCCCTTTGAACACACACCGATGAAAGTTAGTAGGAAAAGTCTTTACACCATTGAACCATTGAGAAACTCAAAATCATGTAGTAACACAATTCTAGAAAAAGGAGGCTTGTGATAACTCAGCCTATAAGGGGCTTACTTTTAAAGCATGACAATCTGACTTCAGATCTCAGAATCCACATTTAAAAAAAACTGGATGTGGTCATACACCCAGGTAACCATGGCACTATGGGGGTTGAGATGGGCAGATGGAGTTTGTTGCCCAACCAGGCTATAGTAATTAGAGACTCTCAGGACAGTGGAAGATGCTATCACAAACCAACAAATCAACTAACTAAAAAAACAAAACAAAAAAACAAGCAAGCAAAGTTGAACTCTGGGCCCGACACAAACCAGTATCTACATGAACACTCATCACACACACACACACACACACACACACACACACACCACACACACACCCCCCCCACACACACACCATACAAAAAGGAAACAAAAGAATACCATGACTTGCAGATGTTTCTTGCTCATTTCATTCTATGTTGAAAATACAGGAAGCATCAAGGAAAGGTGTTGACTGTGGCTGACCAACCAAACACCCCAGCTTTGCATCAACCAGGCAGAGTCTGGCCCCGCTCTTGACCACTGGGCCCACGGGGAGCTGACGCTGTCCACGAGCATGGAAAGACAACTGATAGCCTATGAAAAGAGCCAGATTCAACATCCGCAGTACAGTCTCTCAGGTTCGCTACCTTGCAACGCCAGACCATCCTGCAATGTCAGACGACTGCAACGTAGTGATGTCTGTCCAGGTCTTTGAAAACGGTTAGCCACCCTGAAAACAGAGAAGGTTGTTATGTGCTAAGTCATGCCCCAGCCCCCTTCATATGTTGAAACCTGCAGTAATCTTGGAATTGGACTGTATTTGGGTATATAATCTTCAAAGAGGTTAAATGAGGTTATTAGTTTGGGCTCTAAATAATATGACTTTAAAAAGGTTTGTTTATTTTGATGGTATGTGCATGTGTGCTTTGCCTATTCATGTATACCAGGGCCGTGTCTGGGTTAGGAGGCTGGAAGAGGGTGTTGGGCTCCCTAGAACCAGAGTCACAGAGTATTTAACCCCTATGTGGGTGCTGGGAATTGAACCAGAGTCTTGTAAGACTGGTAACCACTGAACCACCTCTCCAGATCAGGACCCAAACACAGGAGGACCACGTGAAGACGCAGTAAGACTCCATCCACTAGCCACCGAGAGGCCTTCTGTTAAGAAACCAACCCCGTGCATACATTAATTCCAGATAATGAGCAAAAATATTTTTGTTGTGTGAGCCGTCCAGGCTGTGGCTCTTTGCTGGGGCAGCCCTAGGAAAATCACCCAGTGGCCATCTTGTGGGTCCCATGGCTCCTTTTCTATTAGGGAACAGTGCCCTCTGCTGGCTTGTTATGTTTTATTGTCTCAAAAAGTAATGAATTTCATGTGTGGACGGCAGCGAATTGAGAACAGGGTATTTACAGGCTTTTTACAGAACTCTTTGTGGGACCCACATAAACAATATAAAATCTTATGGAATTATTTTTATATTTACTTATCTTCTTTTTGGAGACAGGGTCTCTTATGTGGCCTTGGCTGGCCTGGAGCTTCCTACATAGACCAGGCTGACCTCAAACTCAGAGATCTGTCTGAAGGCATACACCAACAGGCCCAGCTATTTATCCATCATCAATCTGGTGTTAAAATACAATCGTTCCTCTTTCCCTGAGTTCTACCTTGAATAGTTTAACAAATCACAGACAGAAGATATTTGAAAAGAAATTGCATCTGGGGCTGGGGAGATGGCTCAGTGAAAGGCACTTGCTGTTCAAGCCTGGGGACCTGAGTTCAGAGCCCCAGCACTCCGTGAAAGCATGGCTGGTAGCACATGTCTGTGACCCCAGTGCTTGGATGGGGGCAGAGATAGGCAGATTCCTGCAGCTCACTGGCTGGGCAGTCTAACCAAATACACTCAGTTCTAGGCTCACTGGGAGACTCTGTTTCAAAAAATACAATGAAGAGTGATTGAGGGGAGACGTATGACATCGATCTCTGATCACCACGTCAGTGTACACACAGCCTCCCACTTTCAAACAAACAAAAAATATCTTCCCAAATGCTTTGTTATAAAACTACAGTCTTTAACCTTGTCTGTTGCTCCGATGAATACTCCAGAAGCTCTCTGTTTCCCAGAGGGAAATGTTGCCTGGCTGTGGTTTGTCATTGCCAACATGTATCCCGCCCTGTGTCCCTGAAACTCAGGGCCCATTGTCAAGGCTATGGACAAAACTCAGTGCATTTAGGTTAGACCGTTAAGCCTTCCCCACCTTCAGCCTCAGGGGTGCTGGTGTGAGCAGTGAGAAACCAAAGCAGTTTACTTTCCAAAGCCTCCTGGTGCACAGGAACCCCTCCAATGCTAGACATGACCTGCACCTCCTTCTGGGCTATGTTTTAAATAGTAATAAGACAAGATGAAAGGGAAACACAGCTAGATTCCAGATGTGGATGTCATCCAGCTGTTCCAACAATCTTTACAAAATGCCTGTTTTGTATCTCAGTCTAGGGTGGGTGTGGCACATTTTTGTGGAGAGCCAAAGAATGCCCTTTTCTGGATGCACAAGAGAAATAGGACTGAAGCAATGAGGAGGTTAGTTTGTCCATCTGAGGAGGGACAGCATTTATACAGGGAATGTCTGGGCACAACCAGCTGCTCAGAGGGCAGGCAGTGAGGTCACTGTTGTCTTTAGGAGAATAAGGCAGCTCCCAGTGGCTGCTGACTTGAACTTCGCATTAACTCCAAGGCTGCGATAGTGAAGACAAATCTGAGGAGAGCATCTTGGGCACCTGTCACGTGCAGGCAGGGATTAGACAGCGAGCTGGAAGTCACACACCCTGCTCAACCATGAAGTTTTTTAAATCCTTTGGAGCCAGTTATATTACCTCATCTGCTTTCAAGGAAACTCATAGTTGGGTGGATCTCTGCTCTGAAGTGTGGGAACCCGTTGTGAGAACACCCCCACCAAGAGTGAGTTTGAGAGAACTAGGCGTGGCGGATTTTGCTCTTGGTACTGTGGAGCCACTTAGCAAGCAGCCCCAGCCCTGTAACCCTTGTTTTAGGCACAATAATAACTGTATTTGACGCTCTGTTGTCTTAGCCGCCTACAGATTGAACACTAAAAAAAGGAGGCATGGCTAGTTGAAGGCAGGGAATAAAGAGGGGAAAGAAGTGGCCAGTGGGCTAGAGACACGGGGGACTTTGACACCAGGCAATGCCAGTTGAATACCATGAAGAAAGCTCTAACCGGCTGCAGCCAGCGCTGGCTCTGCAGCCTCCACATGGGGCTTGCTGCTTGCTGCCCCAAGCTCTCAGCACCCTGTAGATGGTTCTCCTTTCCTACCCTTCCCCGTGGTATGACCAGGGTCACAGCCTTCCTTCCCTTCCTTCTTCTCATTGCCGTCTCAGATTCTGAGACGCCACAGAGCTGACACATCAGTTCTGATTATGTGCAAAACTGGCCAAGAGTTTTTTCCTGCCATCTAGACTACTTGCAATTTAGCAATCAATCATTCAGCCTTGAGCAACAGTTTCTTCTGAGTATAAAAATGTTTGCAATCGAGGCATATATTCCTTTATATGATATATCATCATCATTGTTGTCATTGTCATCATCATCATCATTCTGAGACAAGATTCCTTATAGACTGAGATGGCCTGGAAGTCTCTGTGTAGCCAAAGATGACCTTGAACTTCTGATCCTCCTGCCTCCACCTGGCGAGTGCTGGGACTACAGGAGGGTGTCAACACTCCTGGTTTCTGTGACACTTGGGATTGACACCAGGCAAACACGCAGCCCACAGAGCTGCATCTCCAGCCCTATGCAACGTGTTGCTATTTTTATCCTCTGGCATCTGCCTTGTGGTTCATATGTAATATCTTAACTTTTCCTTCCTCAAAGTGATCCTGGTGTCTTGTTCAATCTGGTCTTTTCCTGTCTCCACAAAAGGTCCCAGCACTTTCCCCCTTGTAAGCAGACTCTTGAGAGGTCTTTTTCCCAGAGTAACTTAGCCACCATCTCTGCTATAGCTACCCTCCAGTTCATGAAGTTCTTGCTTTATGTATGTAGAATATATATATTCCCACTTAGGGCATCTATTGCTGTAATAAAACCATGAAGAAAAGCAAACCAGGGAGGAAAGGGTTTATTTCAGCTTTCAGTTCTGTATCACAGTCCATCACTGAGGGGAACAGGGCAGGAACTCAAGCAGGGCAGGAACCTGGAGGCTGGTGCAGAGGCCACGGAGGGGCTGTTGGCTGGCTTGCTCCTGGTAGCTTGCTCAGCGTACTTTCTTATACACCCTGGGATCACAGTCTGGGTGGCCCCACCCATAATAGGTTGGGTCTTCCCATATCAATCACCAATCACGAAGACATGCCATAGGCCTGTTCCCAGGTCAGTCTGGTGGGGGCATTTTTCTCAGTCGAGGTTTCCTCTTCCAAAATTACTCTCACAAAATTAATATGAAATTATCCATATATATCCACACACATATACCCCCCCACACATATATGCATTTACTTTTCTTTGTTCTTGAGAATTTCATACAGATATACAATGAAATACAACTATATTTACTTCCATTTCCTCCATCTCTAACTCCTGCCATAGTCACCCAACAATTCTTACTCCCAATTTCATGTCTTGTCTTCTATAACCCACCGAGTCCAGTTATTGCTATGTATGTGTGCATGGGCTTGGGGCCATCCGCCAGAGCAAGGGAAATCTTCCAGTGGGCACACCCCCAAAAGAGAGTGATTCCATCCCTCCAGCATCTATCAGCTGTCATTAGCTCCCCAGTAAGGGTGTGACCTGGAGATTGTCTACCCCTCTGTCCTGGCTGGTTTCATAACACAAGCTGAAGTTATCTGAGAGGAGCAATTGAAAAAAAATACCTCCATAAAATCGGGCTGTATGCAGGTCTGTTGGGTGATTGATATAGAAAGGCCCAGATCATTTTGGATTGTGACACTCCTGGGCTAGTGGCCCTGGGTTCTATAAGAAAGCAGGCTGAGCATGGGGAACAAGCCAGTAAGCAGCTCCCCTCCTTGGCCTCTGCATCAGTTCCTGCCTCCAGGTTTCTTCTCTGTAACATGAATAGATAAAAGGACCCAGAGGCTGTTATTGGGGTCCAAGCTTCAAGCTGAAGATCAGAAAAGCAATGCAGCCAGCCACTAGCTCTTACCTCTACCTCAGGATGGAAGGGCTGATCCTGTCTCCATGAGCTCTCACCAAGCCTCAGACTGCTGCCTCTGCCTCCAGCGTGGCTGGAGAAACTAATGCCTCTCTGAGACCTTGCTTCTGTTTTACATAATTTCCTAATGTTGGGATTAAAGGTGTGGGCTATAATTCTCTTTTAGACTGATTTACTCTTGTGTTGATCTGGGTGACCTTGGACTCACAGAGTCCATCTATCTCTGAACCCTGAGTTCTAGGATGAAAGGTGTACACCACCACCTCCTAGCTTCTGGTTGCTGGAATTAAAGGTGTGTGCCTGGCTTCTGCAGCTTGTGACTGACTTTTCTTACTGACTCCTCAGGCAAGCTTTAATAAATCATTAATAATATATCACTACACTGCTCTGATTGAGTTCCTGCCTAGGCTTCTCTCAATGGACTGTGGTTCAGGATATGTAAGCCAAAATATACCCTTTCCTCCCCAGGTTGCTTTTGGTCACAGTGTTTCATCACTGCAATAGAAACTGTAACTATGACACCCACCTATGTTGGAATTTTGCTGGCTTGATCTTACATAGGACATGTACAGTTAAATACAGCCGCTGTGAATTCATGAGTTTGATAGCCATGTCATGCCTAGATGACAGGATTTCACAGTACTCCTTCCCACCCTTACTTTTGAATGTTCCCTGAGCCTTGGTGTGTATAGTGGGTGATGGATCTAAGTATCTCGTTATCTAAATACCCAGTCTATTATTCTCAACACTTTAACCAGTTAGGCATCTCTCGATTGACCAATGCAAAAAGAAGCCTCTCCACAAAGGTCGAGAGCAGCCCAGGTTTACAGGTACAAACATAAAAACACAGAGGGCAATAGGAACATGTGGTAAAATAGCAACAATAGGTTCTACTCCAGGGAATATGAAATCTCTAGCCACTGGTCGTTGACCAGGATTACAGCACCAGACATGGAATTTCCTTCTGCAGAACAGGCCTTAAATCTATGCAGAAAGTGGTTGGTAACTGCACAGTTGTCATGCAGTTCCTGCACTGGTGAGGACTTCTTACTTTGCAGGTTGCTATTGCAGCGTGCCAGGTCCAGCACCATATTTTTCCCTAGTTTATATGTAAGCATTTAGTTACTTCACATTTGTGTGCCAGGATTATGTAAAATGAAATAGAGGAAACAAAGAACAGAAGCCCCAGTTTCCTTCCCAGGTTATCTAAGTATGTGTGGTCATCAGTACCAGACAGATTTCCTACATTCCTCCAGCACGGACAAGAGATGCTGCCCTCTTTCCCCTTTGATGAGCAGGAAAGGATGCCATTTTCATATCTGATGTACCTCTGTGGACTCCATGTTCTCCCTTTCCTAATCAAGCAAGCCTGTGAGTTTGGGCTGTCATTGAAGGGGAAATTTTAAATGCTCTCCATCAGGGGTGTAGGAGGTGTCATCCCTCAGAAACATGGGTACCTAGTAACCAACTCCCACACAGTGGGAGTGACTCAGAGTGCGGCTGCTGAGCACGGCTGGCAAAGACAGGGCTGTTTTCCATGTGTAGATCTTATTTCAGAGGGGTCAGTGGACATCTCCACCCCGCTTTGCATCTGAAGTGCTGATGGTGACACTGGACTGAGAGAGAAGTCCTTGCCTTTCAGGCTGCTACTGCCCCGTCTGTGGAGAAGGACGGTGTACAGGTGGCATGTGCAAGCTTGGTTCAGCTCTGCTGCTCCTGGGCCTGGGTGTCAGGTTCC